AAGATTCTGATGTATTTTCTGCTAGTGTGTAGAGCTTGCCCCGGGACTACATTTAAGTTCAGAGGCAATCACTGATCATCCACTGAGATTGTTTTAATAGTATCTGTCCATTTCCTCTCTCAATTCTGTATCATTTACCAAATGTACATTGTTATAATGACAAATTCTGTGATCCCAAACATTAATTTGGACCTTCATGGAGTCCAGACAATCACAAGTCTTTCCTTTGGCCCAAAACATTTTCATGTTGACTTTCCAGAAGTACCAGCTATTAAATTAAGAACAAAACATGCAGACTATCTTGTCAAAACATTGAATTTCAGGGAAATTCTAAGCAGCTGAGACAGACACTTTGGAGCAGAAAAAATTGTGTACAGTAATTTGTGTTATTGTGTAGGTATCACTGCACATACTATGCATACCATACAGGTATATGTAATGCACCTGTTAGCCTTGCCTCTTTTAAATTTCTTGGTGTGTATGTATATATGAGTTTCAAAGCTGTAGAAACTGTGTTGCATTAGTAGATGCTTTTTATCTTTAATAATAATATATTTCTCTGTGTGAAAAATGAAAAAAGACAAATTGTGATCAGTAATTTTAAATTTAATCTAGAGAAATTCTCTTACTTCTAAAAAGATTTGTTTATGGTTCTGCATTTTTATACAAATATCCCTTTCTCCATTTCTTCTGTTTTTCTTTCTTAACTGTCCAACTTTGAGAGTTAGCAGTTGTATGGAGAGCAAGCCTTTTAAAGAAAACGGACACAGAAAAATGTTCATCAATTAAATTGTCGTGCTGTATTTTCAAAGCACTAGCAAATAGTTGCAGTCATCTCTACTAATGGAACTGTTTCAGAACATCTGAAACCTTGTTGAAACTGCAGATTAGATTAATAAATTTTGAGTATCATATTAATGTAGCTCTAAATTAAATTTGTAAGTGGTTCTATTATAATTGTCAGCCTTGCATATTTGTGAGAGATATTGGTACTATAAAGGCATGTAAATCTAAGAAATGCATATTGCTGGTTTTGGTCATGCATTATGTTTTCTTTTGTATGTCTATTAGTGACTGTTTTGCTAGAAAAAACACTGTTTTTTAATATAACACTGTATTTTGAAATGTGCTCTAGATTCAAGTTGTTTAGCAATTACACAGCTCCAAATGAGACCACAGGGTTGTAATTTTAATTTTCCTCTGTTCTTGCATTGCTTTTATAGCTCTCAAATTGCAGCATTTTAAAATAGCCAAACAAGTACCCTTGTGAAATATTGTTGTGGATGTCAGTTTTAGTTTCGCAAATTGATTAGAATTTTTTTATGGTTCTTTTCTTTATAAACTATTTCTGCTTAAAGTTACATATTTGCAAATGTTTCTGCTCAGTTATTGAAAAAATGAAGTAAACTGAGAATCTTAAGATAAATGCAGACTATTTCACAAAGCCAACTACATGAAAATATTTCCAGTTAGAAGTGAAACTCCAAAAACAAGCCTTCAAAAGCAGTAGAGTGTGTGTCAAATACATCTAAGCAGAGACTGAAAACACTTCAACAGTATGCATTCAAGATAAATGCATTTAACTAGATAAAATAGTGGTGAATAAAATACTTGCTCCCAAGCTGAATGATTTGTGGATAAACAGACATATTTCTAGCTGTTGTATTTCCGTTGCTCTGAATGAAGTTTGAAGGAGCATAAGTTAGGCTCAAAGGTACTGGATGAAGAGGTATGATGGAATATTCACCATTGCTACTCTACCTTCTTTTTAAAATCACATCCTCAACATTGCTGCTGATCTGGAATGTATACGTGCAAATACTGGTTCACCGTACAAAATCGATGTTCCTAAATTCTTTCCATTGTGTGTGCTCAAAGAGCTTGGTGGAAGAATTTTTGATCATGAATTGAATGAAGTTGCAGTAGTTTTGTATGTGATGTTAAATAGCACGTGCCAGGAACAATGGGCCACATTTCACATGAGCCAGTTTTCAGGATTTTTGGCCCATTTTCCCCTTTCAATCCACATGGATTCCATATCAGTTTTTGAGCTAGTAATTTATTAGAGGCATTATTTTTTTTCAAATGAATATAAAATAATATCATATCAATAATGTTTTATCAAAAACATTTTGCATTGTAGCCTTATTTAGTTCAATGCACCTGGTTTTCTTTCATCCAGCAGTAGACTTAGATGTATTACATGCTATATTTAAATAAAATTATGTTTTTTCTCATGATTTGCAGCTGTTTGCAAAAAGAAAACCTCCAAAAGGCCTTTATGTCTATGGAGATGTTGGTAAGTTTCAGCAGAGATTTCACTAAAAAGTTTTCTCTGTGTGTTTACTGAAGTTCTAAGGTATCATTTTTATGTCAAAGTTAATCTGTATAGCAAATGACTTACGTTTTATGAGCTTTTCAGGCTAGTTTTGTTTTAGAATATGAGGTGGTCTTTAAATAGAGGTAGGAGTCTATGAGCAGTTACATTTTTGTTCATTAATTTATTTCTGATTTCAACATGGTATTGCCCAAATTAACCATATTATTAAATATTGATTGAGAGAGAAAAGAAAGGAAGAATGTATTCCAGCTGTGCCAATATACCACAAAAACACCCTTGCTCTTAAGGAAAATATGGAGGATATTTCACATGAAGACATACAGCCCCTTGTACAGGGCTTTGAGCCATTTGTGTACACCAATCAGTATGAAAAAATAAAAATACAGCTGTTCTCCTAGCTTTTTAAACATAAAATATAACCTCTTCCCAAACAAGCTGGTCTTGTACCGTTCTGCAGAAGAGCTACTTTCATTAGTTCAAAGCTATTGAACAATCATTGCTGTAATCAGTACCTACTGTTGTTAAATTAACTACCTGTAGGGTGTGTTTGTGTTTTTGTTTTTTATTATTTGAAGGCACAGGAAAGACAATGGTGATGGACATATTTTATTCTCATCTGGAGGCAGAGAGGAAAAAGAGAGTCCATTTTCATAGCTTCATGCTAGATGTACACAAAAGTAAGTGCAAATTTTTGTATACTTACTGTGATTTATAAATGTCAAATCTATAAAGCAAACCTGTTTTCTTTTCATATGAGCCAGTTTCTTTCTCTTTTAAGAAACTAATAAAAACAGGTTTTGGAAAGGATTTTCTCTTATTCCAGGGTAGGTACTAGCAGCATGTTTGTTTAGGAATGCCTCCTCAAAAGATAATATAGAGCTGAGTATGTATGAAATTAGATGTATATTCTGTATTCATTTACTTGATATCCTGTATTTACCTAGTATGTTACACTTAATTCTATAGACTATTGATGCCAATAGTGAATTATATGTTGAATGTGATAATGTAATGCTGTTCCAAAAAAGCCAGATTTTATGTGTAAAATCAGTACTATAATTAACTATGTTTGGCCTCAGTTGGTGGCTTCAGTTGAACATAATACTCCACAGTTCTAAAGAGAGGGAGAGAGAGAAAAAGGAGAGAAAATAAAACTAAGTTTGGGGGCGAGAGGAAAGAATGGAGACAGGGCTAGGGGGGAAGATATCTTCCACCTAGAGAATGTGACAAACAGAAACGTGTTTTACAGTTAGGTAAAGGAATGTTTTTAAGACTGAGATTGATTATTCCCAATGAGCACTTTAAAACCAGTTAAAAAAAAAACAACCAAAAAAACCTCAAAAGGCATTTTCATTACTTGATTTATTAAACCTTAGACTAGCCATTTTTCTAGTAGGGACAATTTAGAAATAATGAAATCAGTTTGTTAAGCCTGGAGGAGTTATAGGCTAATGCTATCAGGGTCTGTATTTACCTTATTTAGTAATCATGTTATTTCATTCATTGCTACCCTTGTTCTTTTGCTTTCCTTTCTCAACCCTGGATGGAAATGTTTCCAACCACAGCACCTTATGTTGTGAGGATCAGATCAGGTAACACAGCTGGTAACATAGGGCAATATATAAATTTTACTTTTGTTGTTGTTGTCTGACCTCTCACTCAAGTTCATGAGGTATTTTGTTTTCAGCAAGTAATCTTTGCCCATGTACCACTAAAAGAAAAACTCTTCAGAATATTAATAAAATGTAGGCAGAAAGAGGTGGAAGGAGGGGAAAAAAGTCAAAATGTATACAACATGAAATACCAAATAGTGAATTTAATCTCATCTGTTATTTCTTCTCTCTTTATTTCTAGAATATTTAAAAGGAAAAACCCTTGCTTGACTGTCCAATATGATATTGGATGCCCTTGCATAAGGCAAGAGAAAATCATTAGTGGGAAGTCTCAGGAGTCCTTTCAAGCATAAAAATATTTGAAGGGTATAAACACTACTAGAGGATGAGAGCTGTTTTAGAGAGGCAAAGCTGATGTCAACTAGGAATATGTTGATAAATATAGTAAAAGGAAATTCATCCTAAATATCAGGAAGCATCTGAACATTGTGGACTTATTTACAAGTAGGGGTGCACTGATAAGGATTTTTTTTGGCCAGTGCTGATGGCCAATTATTAACCAGCCATATTGGCCGATGCCAGTCAGCTTGCTGATATGCAGCCCAGCAGCTTGGAGAGCAGCATCTGGCGAGTAAGTCTGTGGGGGGAAGGGGCATGGGGGGAAGCAGATCTAGACCCGCATGGTGAGGAAGGGAGTGGGGCTGAGGCAGGGACAGGCACTGCCCAGCTGGGGCGGGGTGAGGGACAGAGCTGCAGGTGGCTCATCTGGCAGGCATGGGGGCTTGAGAGGGGGGGCAGCTCCTGCTGCTCCGCACACCTCTGGCAAGGTATGGGGGGCATGTGCCCCCAGATTTGTGCATGGGGCAAAGGTGGGCTGTCCACTGTTGGTTGGGGCAGGAGGCTGTGCTTGGGGGAGGGAGGGTACGGGGTGGGCTACAGTCGTCCCAAAATTACCCATAGCCCCCTGTAGGCCTCCAACCCAGCACTGCCACCACCAGGCCCGAGTGCAGCCCTTGCACAGCCCCCAGCACTGGGCCCATAGTGCACAGCCTGCCTTCACCCCACGCACAAATCCTGGGGAAATGTGCCCAGGGGTGCTCACAGCAGCAGGAGCTGCCCCCCGGATGAGCCACCCATGGCTCTGTCCCGTGCTCCGCCCTGTCCAGCTGGGCAGCCCCTGCCTCTGCCCTTGCCCCAGTCCCACTCCCTCCCCCCTTCACTGTGAGGGCCTGGATCTGTCCTCCCACACCCCTTTTCCCCCCTCCAAAGACTTACCAGTCAGATGCTGCTCTCCAAGCTGCTGGGCTGCACTCCTGCCTGCATGCATGTTGCATGCACATGCACATGGCATTTGTCTGTGACTTTATCAGCCACATTGGCCAAAAAATGCCCATTGCTGATAAAGTCAATTTTTCTTTTATCAGTGCTGATAGAAATGGACCAGTATATCTGTGTACCTCTATTTACAAGTTTCAAGTTAGGGAACTGTGTTAGAGTATCTTAGACAACGACTTACAAGTTCTTTGATTCCAGAATGCCAAACACTTGTAAAGAAAGAATTCTCAGCCTCTTGAAGAATCACATCAAGTATTGTAACTCCAACATTATGCAAAGTTTTTATCATTATAAACAATTCCTATCAACTGTTTTTTAGAAATCACAGGTCTGGGAGGGACTTTGTGGTACCAATTCCTTTGTACAGATGCAGGATTTGCTGTTCCTAAGGCAGTGGCTTTAAAACAACAGGCCCCAAGACCCCTCAGTGGTGTAGTGACACAGGCAGCAGCTAGGTAAAACGCCCTCTGTGCAGGGATGCAGTATGCCCATGCATTTCCTGCAGTAGGGGTCTCTGATAACCCTAAATCAGGCAGGAGAGCTGGTTAATGCTGCAGCCTTTCCATTTCCCATCAAGTTCCACATAGAAACAGAGGCATATGGAACAGTTCCACATGTCCCACATGTCTCTGTTTCTAGGAAATGCCATGTAGGGTAAGACCATCAGGGCAGCAGCGTGAGCAAGCTCCCTCCTGCTTTAGAGTTATCAGAGAACCCTAATGCAGGAGGAGCATGCATGTACCAGAGCCCATTCCTGTCTGGCTATGCACGACATACATGGGGCAGTTTTACTGGTGACAGTTGTGACACCCAGTTGAGAATCACTGAGGTAAGTTGAGCATAACAATGGTTCTTGGTTGGGAATACTGCCATGTTCAAAGAAAGGTATGGAGGGGTGCCCTTACTCTGAAAAGGTTAAGAACTAGAGGTGCACTGATACATAAGTCCCATATTGGATCAGCACTGATATAAGGAAAATTGACAGTATCAGGAATTGGTTTTTTTTTGGCTGATGTGGCTAATAATGTTGCTGATAAATGTCCGATGCATGTGCAGTTGTAATGCAGCATGCAAGCAGCCAGGAATGCAGCCTGGCAGCGTGGGGAGCAGCTGGGTTTGGCTGGTAAGTCTGTTGTGAGGGAAGGGGCGGGAGGGGGCAGATGGATGCCCCTGTGGTGAGGGTGGGAGTGGGGCTGGGGCAGGTGTTGCACAGCTGGGGCAGGGTACAGGACGGAGCTGTAAGCAGCTCGTCCAGGGGCCGTGGGTGGGGG